TTTATTTATTGTGCGTGTTTTTTATTTATTAACTTTATTTTATTTATTTATTTAATTTATTTATTTATTTATTGTGCGTATTTTATTTATTTATTTATTTATTCATTTATTTTTTGTGCGTGTTATTATTGTCACTTTCTAATACTTTATGTCGGGTTGTTGTTTGGGGACTTGTTCATTGTTTTACAAGTGCAAAACCCAATAAAAATATTTGAATAATAGATTTATATTATTCTCTTTATAATTCTACTTTTGGGTTAAACTCTCTGAGTCCTTTTCCTCTCTCTGTTACAGTAGATTTCCCGACATGTGCAGATATCTGAAGGTGTAATGGACATTTTGTGGATAAAACAATAAAACTGTGATGAGATCTGACCAGTGGAGCATAAATGGGGGCAGGATGGAGATAAATACACTTTAATTTCAGGTGGAGGAGTCTTTCTAAAACTAAATAAAATCTATATCAGGGGGGTCAAACTCTGGTTTCATGGTTTAGTCTTCATAGCCACCTAGTGGATTTAATTTCTTTTGTAATGTTTATCAGCTTTATTATGATAGTTATTATCATTTTGTCTAAATGTTCCTATTTTATTTTCCTACGATTAGCGGAGGGCTCTTTCGTTTGTAACTTTATTTTTCGTTTTTCCTCCGTTAAAGGAGTTATTTTAAGTTCAGTAAAGTTTCATAGTTTAGATCTCTGGCCTTTTGGGGTGGTTCATTTATTAATGTCACTGTGCTGCTTCCCAAAAATGACCCAAAGAAAGAAACAGGAGCTTTCTGGAAAATTACATTTCATCTTGATATTTAATTCAGAAGGCTGCCAACAGAAAAATGTTTTAACCCTATAATCCCAAATGTATCATATCTGATACGGTTTCTAAAATGTTTTGCGTCTGACTCCTTTTGCATAATTTAATGGTAAAAACTTAGTTCAAAATCTTATTGAACACAATCAGATACACCTGATAACAGGGGGCAGAAGATACACAAAAAATAATCTGGACTTATCGCATAGTAATAAATTATCAATACTAAAAATGTATGTCTGTTTTTTCTTTTTACATATTTTGCTAAAAGGCCAAATACGGAATTCAAACAAAAAAAAATCCTTTTCTGTTTTGTTTTAATCTTCGATCAGGCTTTAAAGGGTTAACATTTATTTCATAAATGAATGCCATTGATGTGTTTTTTTATTTGAAATGTGATTTAGCATGTCTCCACTATTAAGTTATATATAATGTAATAAGAGTTGCTTGTTTCATATTCAATGTTTTTTTGTTTTTTTTTACTTTATTGCCTTAAATGCGGGTTATCAAGCATTTAGCATCAAAAAGGCAAACATAAAAGATAAATAAACACAAGAAAATAAATAAATAAAAAAAAAAAATCAAATAAAAATATATAATATAATAAAAATAATAATAAAAATAAAACAGAAATTGTCTCTAGTCTGTCACACTGTAGAGGGTACAGCACACATCCCATATTTAATGTTAAAGCAAAATTCGGAAAATGAAAAGAAGGGTTAGAATAGAAATTTTTTTAAAAATCTTATCTCATAAATTAATTTCATTGATGTGTTTTTTTATTTGAAATGTGATTAAGCATGTCTCCACTATTAAGTTATATATAATGTAATAAGAGTTGCTTGTTCCATATTCAATGTTAAAGCTAAATTAGTTTGGTTTATATATTAAAAGGTTCATTTGCGGCTTTGTTCAGGTTTTACATTTTGGTCCCCTGTGTTTTGGAGTTTGACCCCCCTGGTCTATCACACTCCTGGTTTATTATTTACAGACTTGGTTTATTACTTTACAGTACAGACTCTACATCTCCAGCTATGGGAAGCCTAGCTAGCCTAGCTAGCCTAGCTAGCTACTAGCTAGCTGCTAGCTAGCGTAGCGACACACACACGGACAGACTCA